AAGAACAACGGGTAACCAAATGACATGGTGTCTACTAAACCTGGTTTGAAAAATTCAAGGAGTTTTCCAGGAGAATTCAAGACAAATTCCAGAATTTTAAGAGCTACTATCGGAACCCGTTTAACTAATCGCAACCCGCTAAAAATAATTTATTATTACTATTAATGATTATTTTAATTTAAAACAAAACTTTTCCAAGGAAAATATTTTATACAACATAATAAAACAGTATAACTATTAGGTAAGGCGACACCAGCTATTATCTCCTGCGATCGTGGGAATACCGGTGAGCATACCTTGCAGTCTCGTCAACACAGACAACCGATCGCGGCAAAACAGGTTCGCATATTTTATGATTTCAGCGACACCGATAATCGTCTCCCGCGATCGCGGCAATACCCGTGAGCATTTCCTGCGGTTTCGGCAACACCGATAATCGTCTCCCACGATCGCGGCAATACCCGTGAGCATATCCTGCGGTTTCGGCGACACCGATAATCGTCTCCCGCGATCGCGGCAATACCCGTGAGCATTTCCTGCGGTTTCGGCAACACCGATAATCGTCTCCCACGATCGCGGCAATACCCGTGAGCATATCCTGCGGTTTCGGCGACACCGATAATCGTCTTCCACGATCGCGACAATACCCGTGAGCATATCCTGCGGTTTCGGCGACACCGATAATCGTCTCCCACGATCGCGGCAATACCCGTGAGCATTTCCTGCGGTTTCGGCAACACCGATAATCGTCTCCCGCGATCGCGGCAATACCCGTGAGCATATCCTGCGGTTTCGTCAACACTGATAATCGTCTCCCACGATCGCGGCAATACCCGTGAGCACATCCTGCGGTTTCGGCGACACCGATAATCGTCTCCCGCGATCGCGTCAATACCCGTGAGCATATCCTGCGGTTTCGGCAACACCGATAATCGTCTCCCGCGATCGCGGCAATACCCGTGAGCATATCCTGCGGTTTCGGCGACACCGATAATCGTCTTCCACGATCGCGACAATACCCGTGAGCATATCCTGCGGTTTCGGCGACACCGATAATCGTCTCCCACGATCGCGGCAATACCCGTGAGCATTTCCTGCGGTTTCGGCAACACCGATAATCGTCTCCCGCGATCGCGGCAATACCCGTGAGCATATCCTGCGGTTTCGTCAACACTGATAATCGTCTCCCACGATCGCGGCAATACCCGTGAGCACATCCTGCGGTTTCGGCGACACCGATAATCGTCTCCCGCGATCGCGTCAATACCCGTGAGCATATCCTGCGGTTTCGGCAACACCGATAATCGTCTCCCGCGATCGCGGCAATACCCGTGAGCATATCCTGCGGTTTCGGCGACACCGATAATCGTCTACCGCGATCGCGGCAATACCCGTGGCCATATCTTGCGGTTTCGGCGACACCGACAATCGTCTCCCACGATCGCGGCAAAACCCGTGAGAATATCTTGCGGTTTCGGCGACACCGATAATCGTCTCCCGCGATCGTGCCAATACCCGTGACCATATCTCGCGGTTTCGGCAACACCGATAATCGTCTCCCACGATCGCGGCAATACCCGTGAGCATATCCTGCGGTTTCGGCGACACCGATAATCGTCTCTCGCGATCGCGGCAATACCCGTGAGCATATCCTGCGGTTTCGGCGACACCGATAATCGTCTCTCGCGATCGCGGCAATACCCGTGAGCATATCCTGCGGTTTCGGCGACACCGATAATCGTCTCCCGCGATCGCGGCAATACCCGTGAGGATATCTTTCCGTTTCGGCGAAACCGATAATTGTCTCCCGCGATTTCGGCAACAAAAGCGGCAGTGTTTGGTTAGCCGACGATTCCGATGACCGGGCTGTGGATTCCCGGAGGTTTGGGTGGATTCCTGGAGTTTTCCAGGACATTTCAAGGTAAGATACAATTCCCGGAGTTTTCCCGGTTTTCCCGAATTTCCCGGAGAGTAGACACCATGAATGAATACTTAATGTAAAAAAATATAGTTTACAAAATAACTTATACAGTAAACGTAATACCAAAAAAAGGAAACAAAACCGCTAACTAAACGTACGTCATGGACCAAAAACTACAATGAATTTACAAGTCATACAGTAAACGAAAAAATATAGCAAAACAACGAAATTGCTAACTAAACGTATTTCTTGTAAAAAATACTACAATTACAAAATACTACAATAACCGTGATATTAAAACTCAACGAACCGGCTTACGAAACGTATGTAATGTAAAAATACTAGAGTTCACAAAGTATACAGTAAACTAAATCAAGAAAAACGAAACAGCTTACTAAACGTATGTCATGGGAAAAATACTATAATTTACACCTTGGAATAATTGCGATATTACAGAAATAATGAAACCAGCTAAATGATTAAATAAACGAATGTCGTGAATTAAAAACAGTTTACAAGATGAACCAATGTGCAAAAGATACTCAAGTAATAAATAATACAAAATAGTTATTGGCCTTCATTCATTGATCTATGGATAAGTAGTTTTGAGTTATGTGTGTATGACAAAAAGCTCTTGAACAAAGTTCACAAGTGTTGCAAATTTTTTAGTTTACGTTGATGTGGTACTGATTTTGCAGTAGATTTTCCGTAGCGGGCAATTCTTAAGCTACAGTTCACAGCACAGTTTTTATAATTTTCAAATGCATCCTTATGCGTTCCTTAAGTTGACTACGAAGTCGCGATGCTCCCTGCAAGTGGACTCTAGTTTTAGCCATTCCAGATGTTTCTTCATAATTTCCTTTTCGATTGAAGACATCAAGGATGACTTGACTCCTACTATATGCTTAATTTTTTGAAATTTTTCTTTAAAAGAAGAAAGCATGACGTCTGTTACGGATGCCATTTCCTTGGATGGAGCAGTCAGATGGCTCGTTACATCTATTGTGGAATAACTCCTGTGAAGAATCAGCAGCTAATTTTCGTCACTGAGCTGGGCACCTGTTGTAAGCTCTCGGCTGCATTCTTCACATGAGAATTCCGGTAAAAAATTCAAACGGCCGCCATTTTGAAATTTGGAAAGTTAAAATAATAATTTTTTTATAAATGTTACTTACTATAGTGTAAACAATTTTGCCAAGTTTCGTAAAAATATCTCAAAGGGATTTTAAAATAATAAATATTTTCCCCAAAAAACAAAATGGCGGATTACGGCTAAACTAAGCCGAAATCAAAAAAAATTTATTCTTCATTTTTGACTTATGTTTGCATGTAGAATTAGGTCCTGTATAGCCCATCACACTTTTTTGTGACACCCTGTATACTGATGTAAGTTACCCTATTAAGACCGTCTACAACCTATGTTGCGCTACGCTACGCTGCGCTCTCTGTGTGTATTGGACTACGCTGCGCTCCTATACGCTACGCTGCGCTGCGCTACGTTGCGCTACGCTACGCTGTCTGTATGTTTCTACACTTACAGACTTTCTCAGAGTCGTAAATAAGTAATGTCCAATCGTACAACATAGGTACATTCATGTTAAGTGTAAAAATCTTACGCATTATAAAATAAATTACTCTATACGAGTAGTTTAGAATAAAATGTTTACCATCATATATAGAAGTAAGTTTATAAACCATATTGGTTTCGCAAGGAGCATGCTTGAATTACAGTATTAGCAAAGCCGACAACGAGCCCGCAGCAGCGGTATGAGTTGCGTCATTGTTGCGTCTTGCATGGTTATCGGTAGAGCGCACTAGCAACTTGATGTACTGCATAACCGATGGTCGCGTAGTTCGGGCCGCCGACGCTGCTCAGCCTAGCGGTGCACGGGTAATGCTATGCCCTATTGACTGGACACTCTAGTTACGTTTATACTCAATGACGATACTGAAAACTAGTTTTCTTTTTAAATACTCTTTGAATACAGTTTTTTCCAGATTACAAATGTCTGCACACAAATAAATATTTCATAAATTTTAAACTGTCAAAAGGGGTAGATATACAGGTTTTAGAATAACAAGATATTTGTTAGTTGTCATAAGTACAAGAGCCATCCAGAAAGTAACAGACGTTTTGCATCAGCGTCGTTTTAGGTGGGGCTATTGCCGCCATCTAAGCATCAAGAGTATTCCTATAATTAGTGTGTGGGGAGCGAGCTGGTCTAGTGGTTAGAGTACGGGACTTCGGTACCTGAGGTCCCGGTTTCAAATCCAACCGAATCGCCAATGGATTTTATCTAAGTGATAATGCCGCAGCCCCTAGGTCTAGTTAAAATGTTAGGGGTGTTAAAGTTAGCATTGTCCTGCATTGCACTGTCCTGTCATTTGTGAAGTGCGCTCTGTGACTAAAATTTTGAGGTGAAAAATCACAAGCCAATTGAAATTTATTGTCAGCTTCGGGATGATTAAGGCAAAGGAGTGATGAGTGAACGCAGAGCGAAACAGTGGTGCATTGACATTAAAAAGGGTTTAAACTTCAGAGTTGCAGCCTCTATTTTTGTGATAACCTGTTAAGATGGGGCACAACAATTTAATAGGTACAACAAACTTTTACAATAACAATTTCATGAACCAAACTATTTTTAATTTGGGGAAAATGTTACACGAGTTCTTTAGTTATGAAATACTTTACCATTAACTCTGAGTTTGACGAAACAAGATATTTCTTAGTTATAATTAATCAAATAATCGTCTGATTTTTCCCATTTACTTTGATATGCAATGAACTATTTGTTTAAGGGAATTAATAACTAATAAATTTTATAACATTTAGATCCCTAAATTTTGTTTATCTAGAAAGCAACTATGGCAAATAAAATCTAGACTGGTAATAGAGCTTAATATTTTTCACACAACATATTTTTTTGTTTACAGTCTTAGTTAAATGTTTAAGATTAGCCCAATCTCTTTTGTATCACCAGGGGGGAAAATAATTAGGCCTAGTGTTGTGTCCTTTTTAACTATAGAATTTAAGATAGTTTCACAAATACTGTATGTTAACGGTTGTTACAAAACTTACGATATTTGAAGGAACCTCAGGTGGTATCCAATCGAATTTCATCTGTTTTTCTGCGTTGTTGGTCCGCTTGATGGCCAGGACTATGAAAAATAAATGCAGGAAAATTGTCAGACCAATGAATTTAACGAATATAGAAATAAAACAAATCACACTCTCCTGGTATAATCTCTGGGTCATTAAACTTAAGCTCATTGTTCTTCATTCTACATTGGACCAACCTCTCGTTTGATTTTAAAACAAGTCAAGATACAATGTTACAAAAGAAAAATTCCATGTCAGCCTACGTGATTAATTGAAACCACTAGTATACAGGCTATGAAGCTATCTGCAGACTAAGGTAGGCCAGGAGAAGGACGTTACGTCACCAACCACGCAATGACATAGCCGCAAGTGTCACCCGTGACAGTACTGGCCAGTATTTTCAATGTTTTACTAGTTTTTTTTTAAATATTTTTGTTGTGTGGATGAGTCATGTGCATTTTCCAGAGGTTTTGATGGATCTGTCCGACTTGAATAGATGACTTAATGTTTTAGTCCCAATTGAACATGGTCCATAGACTAACCAACACAAGTAGACGTCATTGTAAATTTTGAAGCTCGTTTTTTATGTCTAGTTCATGTACGCCACACTGGGCGCTAGTGTCGACAAAATTTTGTTTCTATTATTTTAGGGTTAATTTCTTGATTTGTGCTTTACTGTTTGGTTAAATAACTAGGGCACAATTTATTGTTTATGATTAGATCGTATTATTTGGTTAAACGAGGTTTTAAATGACTGTATTAACGGGAAACAAATTGTAAACAAAACACGACCTCTACATAAACCGTACAGAACTAACAATAAAATTGTCTTCAGCTGTTCCATTAGGATGACAAATCTACTAAGGGAGTATGTTTTATCTATGACATGGACTCTTGTAGTCTGAAACTACAGTTGTTTATTACTGGCCAAGGAAAATTTAATTTGGCAGAACAAGGGAATTTAAACCGTTTTAGCTTAAATTACACATGATTAACAAGTGGTTTAAAAATAAGAAGCTTCTCAGGAGCTCATACCTATAAATATAAACCGAAAAAGTTTAAATAATTTTATCAATACATCTTAATGGAAATTGGGTATCTTGGTTATAGCTAAATGTAATGTTATATGAAATACGAGTTATTTATTAAAATACTAACATTTACAGATAATTCCCTTTAATGGGGAGTTCTAAGACAGTATAACAAATAAAAACCTGAAACTCAATAATTTGATTACTTACCCCTGTCTTCTTCCTTAATTAGGGATCTAAGAGATGTTTTCTTGTCATTTTCATTGTTGAAAATAAGGTGGTATCTTAAATTTTCACCCTCATCTACGTCATGGATTTCTTTTTTACATTTGCAAAGTTTGCAAGTATTTCTGTTAAAAACAAAACAATTATTTAGTCTAAATGGAAATCACAGGATATTACTTTGTAAACACACTGGAATCTCACATCTCAACCTCCCTCTTGATCAATAATATTAAAGGTTTATTCATAAAAATTAAATAAAACTTTATTTAATTAAAGTAATTACTTTAGTAATTAAAGTTGTATTTTTAATGTAAATAAAATAAAATAAAATAAAATCTCTCACCTATCAGCCAAAATGAGTCTTGGTGAGGGGGCGGAGGTACTTTTGTGAAAACATCCGTGTATTGCTACTCAACGTGACTCACTCACCCCTACCTCAAGCACTGCCAAAAACCAGCACCCATATGTTTTAGTGTGGTTAGTGGCAAACCATCCACGCACAGAAGTGCTGGTCAATCTTTAGGCCTACTTCTCTACTACCCCTCACATTTTTCTCTCAGTAGGAACCAAGAACTGAGTGGATTAATCTATATTGTAATGTCACTGAACTATTTGTCGGATGTAAAACGTAAATCAGTCGGAAAGCGAAACACATTACAAACATGTTTATTTAAGCTATAATATAGTTTCTGAGTTTAATTTTGTATAGCTTTACAAAAACTAGCAGTGTGCCTGTTCTACGGGTGGGGATCTTATATTATTACTATTAAGCTGCGCGCGCACTACGGCGGCACGGCACGGACGGGCGGGCGGCACGGCAATTTTTAAAAGTTAATAACATTGAATGTCATATGAGTGCGCCCACTACGGCGGTACGGCCGGCAACGGACGTTCGGCAGCTTCCGCCGTTTGTTAAAAAGTCCGGGAGACAGAACTCCAGGACATTTCCGAGCTGCCGTGACGCCCGTACCGGCAGGAGCACTGCACACCGACCGGGCGGGCGGCACGGGACATCCGCCATTCTCAACTGATCTCTGTCAAAGTAGCAGTGTTTTCGTGTGTTGTAAACATCAGGGTGTCTACTACATTCTGGATAAAAAATTCATGGACAATTCCCGTACATTTAAGGACACTTTGCCGTAACCTTTGTCGGTGTCATTAGGCCTACCGAATAATTTTCCTGATTTGTCAAACTGTATTAATCTTTTTATTAACTGTAGTTGTACCAAAGAGAGAAAAGTAAATAACAATAGATAAGAGTTAAAAATTTCAAAATAGAAATTTATTGAAAGTAAACAAGCATAGGCCTACCTATACTTTAGGTAAAGCTTTTATAGTGTAACAGAGAAACGCAATCATTGTCTCCTGCGATAGCGACAAGATTTAGATTGCTTAAAGCATACAACTCAATAAATAAATATATGGGAAACAAAAAACATTGAAACCAATATAAGACAAAGATAGAGAAAATGCAATGACATAATTTGAAACCAAGCAGGCCTACATAGTGATAAAACATTAATGCAAAGAACAATGCTTGTGGTTTTGTCAATTGAAAGATAAAATATACATAAAAAAGGGGTTAACTTACAAAATAAGACTGTAGATTATTTACATGTTTAATATGAAACCATAAACAGTTTTATGGCACTAGGCAATGGCCGCGGCAAATTGAATCTTCAAGCCGAAAGTACAAGTAAGAAGTGAAATTTAACAGCCATTATAAAGCTATTATTTTCACGATGAAATAGGTTTGGGATCTCATAATAATTACCCTAGTAATAAAAAAAGAAGTTGTAAAGGAATAAAAGTGATACAACTTTTATGAGCTAGCTAACTGAGTCAACAGCTCTTGGAAGTACTTGACTTGACACTTGATTGTCGTGATAAAATATTAATGGGTTTGAGATTGCTAATGGGATTTTTATTGCATAATTACTCTAGTAATAAATTATGATTAGGGGTCTGCGGTGCACCGAAAAAGTCGGTACGGTACGGTACAAGCTTAATTACCGTCATCGGTTCGGTACAGCATTTTACACGGTACAAATTCGGTTCGGTACAGCCTATTATAATAATAAATTACTTTCAGTTTACTATCGTAGTCAACAACGGCAGTTGGTTCCGAGCACATAAAAGTCTTATCAGATGTTTGTTTACGAAATTTATTACTAGCGTGATGGTGCAATAAAAAACCCATTAGCAGTCCCAAATCCATTAACATTTTATCACGACAATAATTGTTGTATTGAAGTACTTCCAAGAACTGTTGAGTTTTATCACTTTTATTTCTTTACGACTTTCCCCAATTCTGTTTTATCATAAAAATAATAGTTTTATGATGACTGTTAAATGCTATCTCTAACTTCAGTATTTTCGTGAATATTGAATTTGCCGCTGGCCATTGCCTACTGCCATAAAACTGTTTATGGCTACATATTAAACTTGTAACTAATCTACAATCTTATTTTATAAATTAAAATATTTGTTATGGATATTTTATCTTTCTATTGACGACCATGGATATATACAAACTTTTGTCGTGATTTTAATTTCAACATCAAAATACAATATTGCACAATCGTGATATTTTAGGTCATTGACCTTTATTATGCATCCGGTATTGCTGTGTCAGAAGAGAAGCACGTTGATAAATTATAAATTGATATTCCCGTAGTTAAAAAGAATTATTTTATAAACCTATAAAACAAAATCATAAAATCTTACATAAAGATAACAATAACGGAAATTGTAAAAAGGGTATAAAGATAACAACGTCTTTTATTCTTTCTCTTTGTTCTTCTATTTCTTGGGTTTCCCTTCATCACGCATTCAACAAGTTGCCATGGTTACTAATCACCCATGTCGTTATCAGCTTTTGTGACATAGCTCACAGCAGGGGGTAAAACTTGACGAAAATCGGTAAATTTTTACCTATTATTTAATTACCAATGAATGTACTACTTTATTGGTATTTGGTATTGTATTAATAATCGGTCCAAATGGCAGATTTTTGTCAAATTTTACACCAAATTTATTGAAATTTCAAGGTGAATATTAATAAAACAATTATTACCAAATATTTGTATTCATTTAAAAGATTGATTTGTGGTATTGGGTTCCCCACTGAGTGCAGCCGAGCGGCACTAATGAGGGTCGGACCTTCTTGGGGGTGAACAATAGACGGCTTATCAGACCCTCCCCTCCCCCGTGGTCTGGAGAAAGCATGTAAACAAACTATTGCACAAGCGTGACTTGACATTGAGCTGCTTCAACTATAATTTTGTAAAATGAACTGTGATGTTTCAAAATAAAAAACAATAATTTGGGACCATACTGCTTAACAATAATGGACTGCAATTATTGTTGAACATTCAATCCATTTTTAACAAACTAAGATTATACGATTCAAATACAATTATAAAAATTATCTTGGTATTTTACTTGGGGTAATGAAGTTATGTAGGCTAGTGTAATTCTCGGTTCATCAAGGTTCTACTGAATTATGTTTGGCAGTGAATAAGTGTAGAATGCAATTTATAAATTCAGGGATACACACCTTTTACACAGTTATAAAGTCTAATTGCCCAACATCAAATCTTACTCTGTGATAATCCAAATTTTAGTTTCAGAAAAAAAACTTTGCAAGAATTGTATCCATCTTATAACTTAACTAGTTTTGAAGCTGATAAAAAAAATGGTCTTTGCCATTACTTCATCATAACCTCCAGTTTTTCATTGTCATCTGCTGTGAACAGCTGTCAAAACTACACTGTCTTCTACTGAATGCTTTTATATGTTTTTAAAATTAAAAACAACTAGACATTGTGTTGGTTGGAAATAATTTACCAGTTTTGTGAAATTATCTTGTCAATAAATGTTTCAAACATGTTTATTCATAAAAACTCTTATCCTATTTTTAAACTGCTTTATCATGGCTATTCAAAGTATCTCAGAGTAAAATAGGTAAAGCCTTTATCTCAACTGTGATTTTTCTTGACACAATCCTCATAGTAGTAAAAGGTTTTGTTTTAATAAAACATGTGGTACAGTAATTGTTGTTAGAAAACCATGAATGTAGGATACTATCCATTTTCATAGTAATGTCTATACTGTATTAAAGTTCAAAATAATGGTTTAGATACAGTTCTGAGAAGAAAACCGCAAAAATACAGGTAGCCGCGTACTGTACCGATTTTGTACCGAGAACCGAGGTACAAAATATTGTACCGTACCGAACCGTACCGACCTTAAATTTTCTGTACCGCAGACCCCTAATTATGATAATGTAAACAAACATCTGATAAACCTTTTATGTGCTCCTAACCAACTAGCGATCAATATAATTATGGCCCATTAAAAATTTAAGGACATAGTCTGGCATTTAAGGACAATTCCCGTACATTTCATGGCCAGTAAAAAATTAAGTACAATTCCCGGTTTTCCCGGATTTCCCGGTTGGTAGACACCCTGATAGATGTTAGTAAGTTAGAGTTTTCTCGTTGAGAAATACCCGAAACTGTACAACATGCGACATCCGGAATATTTTAATAACGTCCGGCGTGACAATATATGGGCAGAAATATGATCTATTATGAAACAATCAGGTAAGTTTTACACATAATCCTTCTACAATATCAGGAAACAAGGTTTGGAGCCCCCCAAAACTTAGTCTTTTCCTGTTTATTTGGTGTAGGCTATCTAAAATTTTTGCTTGCACCTTCTTGTCTCCTCTTCCTCCTGCCAAAATTAAACCTACTATCACCACTCTATCTACATCCATCTTTACTCACAATCTTTTACTCGCAGACTGTCAACTGTCCTAAATTGCGGATGTGCGGATGTCCCGTCCCGTCCGTCCGTGCCGTGCCGCCCTAGTGCGCGCACCCCCTCTTAAAAATGCCGTCCGTGCCGTACCGCCCGTCCGTGCCGTGCCGCCGTAGTGCGCGCGTAGCTTTAGGTAGCCTACCTTATTACCATGTCTTCACCTTTTACCCAATAAGGGATTGATGGTGTCAGAATTTCAATATACAAAATACATTTAAAAACAACTGATTCGAGAAGATACAAACATAGGTACATATTTACATAAACTTTGGCATCGGACAGAATAAAGATAACTTTTTCCAGATATGCAGGCAAACCTATTATACTGAAAGTAGGATCAGTTGCTGAGGGTCTAAATCCCGGTCTAATTAGACCTTCGGCACACATTTTGCATTTAGTACTTGTAGCTGAGGGTCTAAACCCTACTAAATGTGTCTTGGATCCATAACAAAATGGCACTAAAAACATTGATTTTCCTGGTTTTTCAGGAATTCCCAGTTGTGGCCCTCTCGCTTGATTGTAGAATTTGATGACTAATTACAAAAATGTATTAACCTAATTATTTATATCATACACCTTCTGAAGTATAACTAACCATTTTGGATTTCCTTTCTTTATATTATTAAGTATAAACACAGGGAAGTAAGGTAGAGAGGAAACATTCAATGGTACACCTAGTGGCGTCTAGGTCAAAGTAATTCTCTTACATGTACCTACTACAACGCTCTCGGTGGAGAAAGACCCTGTGTCCTGTGAGATGGGAATTTTAGCAAAGTGCTATAATTGCTCGGCCTCTTCCTTGCTCATTACAAGTATATTACCAGTGCAACATAGGCCTCCGAAAGGTGTGATTCCTCGCATAGGCACCTTATTTCTCTCTGGTATAAAATACTTTCCAAATATAAAACTCTCCAAAAATATTCATCGACAGATAAAGAGACTGTTAATTCTTAAATAAGTAATTAATTATTACACTTAACCTCCAATAATGTAGGTCGAGTCCAGGGCATAACTGTTTACAAACTAAGCACGGTGCACCTGCTCCAAACTCATGGCCTAAACGTGTCTAAAAACAGAATAAAACAAAATCAAATTAAAAGAAACCAAAATATAAAAACGTAACATAAATAGTAGGCCTATGTGCTCATGGACCACACATAAGTTTAAAGAAATATTTTTTGTAAAAAATAAATATGGATTAAAAGGAAAATATGAAATAAACCAAGCGGTGTTATGCCTAAGTCATTTGTTGGTTAACTGTTTAAGTAACCAATTAAGTGCTTTGCTCACAAGTTTAAGGTTCATCCTGTGATCACAAAAGAATGGAGATCATCTAACATCCTGGAATGGGAAGGAAGAACAAAATATTGGATTTGGTTACAGTATTTTGTTGAGTGGTCAGTTGTATGTGGGTTACCACATCTTAGTATGAAATCTGTTTAACAAAGCAGTCCACTGCTCACAGAGCAACATAAGTACAGAATTAGAATAGAATAAAGAAGGATGGTGTTAGCCAACTAACAATTTCTTTTCTGTAAACTGTGCTACAAGATGTTTAAGTCTCAAGCAGACATTTTGATAGCGCCTATATCCACAACAGATCTCAGGTGGAAAAATATAAGGTACCGGTACTCCGACCAAAACTAATCAGCAAACAAACAAAATGCACCATACAGAGAATACGTAAGTTAATAAAAAACCCAGGTAAGTTAGACTTCCGTATCTGTTGGCACAAACAACCGAATGAAAATATCAATCGATATATCGTTTGGTTAGTTAGGTAAGGTATTAACTTATACTAAACAAACGATATATCGAATGAAACAATCAAATAATCAATATTTTCATTCGGTTGTTTGTGCCAAGAGATACGGAAGTCTGCCCAAAAACCCTCGTGTCGGAAAACTGGAGAACTCTTGGTTCTAAAATGCTACCATAAGTTAGCCAGTCGGTCCATCCCGTCGGTTAAAGCAATGTAAACAATCGACTTGGCAATTCTTGCCACTTGCAGCTTAGCTCACTGTTACCATCCCGGCAACATGCTAGGCGCGACTGTGTAAGTTAATTAAGTGCCCATTTAACGACCTGTGATGCAATTCTGCAACGCAGTACCGGTAAGCAACCAGTCGGGCTACTCAGCTACCTGCCCTATTCCAATGTTTTGAACCCTTCTTCATGCCCAAATAAGAGCTGATTAGTTTGCAGGGAAGACAATACCAACCTTTAATGTAACAAATTGGACAAAGGCCACTACCTATACAGTAGACCTACCGGTACTCCTTAACATATATAGCCAATTTTGTCAATGATACGTACCTTGTCGATGTTGTTTTTAAGCCTTTCTTCAAGGTTTCTAATACATAATGGTACAGTTGTTTTATTTGAATCGTTGTCCATTTTGATTGAATATAGACAAACTTATTTAAACTGAAACCACAACTACACACAACAGTTTAGGAGAGTTCTGAATGACGTCAACGTATGTATAGGTGATTCACTAGTCAACGAAAACGAAGAATCGTCGACATGAGTCATCTAACTTACTTATCTCTTCACCTCACCTTATTTCACTGGAGATGTTTCATTATCACTACAACTCTCGTTTGACAATGGAAGTTGAAGTTTTGATCAATCGCACTGAGCGACGTCAATACAATGTGCACGATCACGATGGTGTGAATAAAATAAACATGAAACTATAACGTCGACCTGCGACCTCAGTAAATTAAACTATAAACCAAACTAGTATAAAATAAACTATAAACCAAACTTAACTAAATGACGGAACGACAGAACTGATTACTCTCTGAGTGAATCGAATCTGAATCGAATCAGTGAAGTTTATACTAGGTAGGGATTAGGGATATGATAATCGAATACTATTCGAATTCCAATATATCCCTAGTATTCGTATTCCTGTATTCAAACAAACGCTCGAAGCATTCGATGTATTCATAAAGTAGGAGGATAATCCTCGAGCCTAATAGCATTGAGTATACACGTATACATGTATACACAATGCTAATATAAGAGTGAACTTGTCGAGTTCTAATTATATTGTAAAATCTGGGTCATAGTTGGGACCAATTTTAAACAGCTAATGGATTTTACAGAGATTATGAACCGGTCTGCACTTCTGCAGTTGCTCACGGTATCATGCTGTCAACAGTTTGTTTTGCCATTGATTATCTATTTAAGGAGAATATTTAATCTTCGGAGATAATAAAGATTGAAGAGAGTAGATTTTTATTTCCTTTATGTTGTCGGTTTAGTTTCATGAAGACCTGTAAAATGATATGAATGTTGACTAAGTTTATACATCTCGTGTAAAAGCTTTGAGGTACCCCCACTACCCCTAAGGGTAAAAGTTTGTAAACCAACCAACATTATTGTAGCTCACCATATCTAGCTCTAATGGTTAACAGGTCATCTATTTTAAGCCATGTTGTTTTACAAGCATAACTGGTAACTTATTAAATACATAAAAATGAAATGTCCATTGGAATAAAATTAAAAAATTAGATGTCCATAGAATAAACTAGTAAGTACTAATAAGTAGGCAGGATCGATTCGATGATTTTAATGCGACTGCGACCACGCAAAATCGACATTTTCTATAATCTGAAAAAACGACTATTCGATCGACCTTCAACCATTCCTATACGTTGTGAAGTCTTGTCTTGTTTTGTACATACTGTGGAAGTATACGAGTATGGCTCGGCTCGGCTGTCGTCGGCGTCGGCTGCTACGGTACCGGCACTCTGTGTCACTGTGTCTGTCTGTCTCTGACTCTTTTCTTTCCGGCCCTGGCCTGGCCCCGGCAATTTTGTGGGATTTATATTTCTGGCGTATTATTTTTAAAGTTTGAGAAGTGTAAACTAAGTTATTTTGCAAAGAACTGGAAAAATTCAAACTAAAATGTCTGACATCAAGAAAAATGAAATCGAAAAAGCTCTCAAAAGTCATATAGACAAAATCGACAAACTATACCTACGAAAGATACAGGTTAGTTAGTCTGTTATAGCTATAGCCTAAGTTAATCCTAATTCTTAAAACTTGGACACTATTTCTGTAGTGATTTGTGATATACACGGCCAGCCATAACAATCTAGCTATCTTCCGATAAGTATACGATAGATTTGGAGCTCACGTCCTTTTAAAAGACCCTTCATGAAGTTCTGATGAAACTTGACATACTGACATACTCCGTTGCCGCAACCTTGACCTTTGAAATGGATTTCACAGTTTCCAAATTCAATTAAGATTTGATTTTAATTGTTACTTTGTTTGTAGGCCCTATACTTATTGTGGAAATAAAACTGATTTGATTTTAAAATAAAATTCCAACGTTTGAAGCACTATAGGCCCTAACTTAGTCCTATTTGAGAATCGTTAAATTGATTGATCGATACAACTATAAAATTGAATCTTTGAACCACTATTTCAATTTACTGTAGGATATTAATATTCATCATTTATAAGTCCTACTAGGCCTACTAATTCAATTAGTTAATTCAATATAACTTAGTCTATGCTAGCTCTAAAATTTGTTGTTTTTTAAGTTATGTAGTCTACACCAGTTCTCAAATAATTTGGAACCAGATCCTGTTCAAATTACCAAGTTGTTAAACCGGATATGCAATGAAAATTAAAAAAACTAGCAATGCGCGGTTGCAAGATGTGTAAACAATCGAAATGTTCCTTCTCAAGATGTTCCGCTTATCGATTGTTTTATTTGCTTATCAACATGTTTGTACAATCAAAATGTTTCTCTCGATTGTTTCATTAATTAAGCCAAAATGTCTGTCTGCATCTGTTTTAAAACAAGGGAAGTTAACTTGATTTGTTTTTGTCTAGATTTCTTATAGAATAACTTACCCGTTGTTTTATTTTATTTTTATTTTATTTTATTTTATTTTATTTCAACGGACATTCCATTTTGTTTGATGTGGTACTAAAGATACATTGTACAGTTCAAGATGACTAATATTAAATAACAACTGTGAACTTTTAACACTTAGACATAGGCAACAAAACAAATAACAATAATATAGTAATTAACAACAATAATGTAGTAATTAACAACAATAAATTATAGCAAAAACATAACAAAGACGATCGTAATACATAATAACCATAAATAACAAGGAAAACAGGCATGTTTGGGAGAATAAATATTAGCTTAAATAAGTATAACAGTATAACAGATGTGTACAACAAGGTACAACAACATATAATTAGGCCTCTGTTGACATTTGAATAAACACTTATGGCACTCCGTCATGACAGTAGCAATAGAAAATTATTTTTCAGTAATGATAAACATTACGAGAACTTTCAGACTCGCTTTACAAATTTTCATACGGTAAGCATATTGTTCATAAAATATCTCGTCAACTTAACAGTTGTAATATATTCCGACTTTGTCAGCCATTGATGTAGAATCCAGCAAGTATTTAAGTAACTATGAAAAAATCACATAGCGATAAAACTCAGATGTTTATTTGCGTAAGTCTGTTTCACAATCGAACCATAAAATCTTATATGTCAGAAAATCTTCACCTCTTACAGTCAACTTAGGTCAATTGGCTTGTTAGAATAAGTCAAATGTCAGGTGAAAATTTTGGCTGGAAGAAAACGAGTCTGAGTCACGAAGTTGAAGAAGCCACCCCAAGAAGTGCCAATAAAAGAAGTTGAACCTGCCAGTTAAAAAAAATGATGCTTCAGTGGTTAGATTTTTAGCGTTTCTTTTCATTTAACTTATGCTTTCCCATGGACCTATGCATGATTAGAGGCCCAAACAGCATTTCAAGAATAAGTTTGAAAATCAGAACCGGCACCGATTGCTCTTAAACTTACTGTACTGTCAATAAAATCATTAGGTTTAACATTTACGGAAGGAACTATCTTATGTATCTACAAGAATTGTAGATTGAGCCTATTCAATCTTATTGATTAATCCCAATAGCCTTTGGACAGTTTTTTCTTCCAAATTGTCCATGATTGATACTTTTGAACATAAACTTAATCAGATCTTTTTTAAAGACAATCGAACATGAAAGACCTTTTTTTTTGTTGTTGTGTTGTTTCCGGACCAATTCCAGTACCATTTTATATGAAAGACCAAGTACAGCCTTTAAAACAAAGGTACTCTTTTTGTTCCAGGAAAAGGCGTTTCTTTGTTCTGCCAAATGCTGCTCTGACCTGCTCAATTCTTCTTCAGAGGAGGTTCAGGATTGTGTCGAGAAATGCAATAAGACATATTTTGAATCAGTCAACTATTTTAATAGGGAGATAAAAAACTTTCATGTGAGTCAATTCAGAATTTTGTTCGTAGAGGTACATTATAATCGGTTAAAATAAGCAAGTGTAATTTATACTTCACATAGCCAAATAAAAGTTACAGATTAGCAGGAATAATACATAGTTACATTTAAAGTAAATAAATGCAAATATGAGTAAAAGATTTTAAACTATGTAATTATTTTGTTGGGAGTTATAGATAAATCTATATTAGACAGGCTCAGTCCCAATATGAGCGATGTTGGTCTAAGACCCATATAATAAATATTTATTAATTACTGCAACTAGCTAAGATAACTGATAATTTTCTGCGACCGCAGAAGATTTAGGCCTAGCAGAAGATTTATTTAGTTGCTAGTGTTCCCGCACCTCTGAGAGGTATACATTATTTTGCCACTATCGCGGCAGACCATGATAATGTTTCCGTGATCGCGTAAGACCCTGGTGATAATTAGGGTTTTGCCATGATCAATTGTAACAAATTGTGTCTGTGACCGCGAGGGATAAACAATATTTTTGCCGAGAGTGTGGGTGACAGTGATGATGTCCACACTACCATGGAAAATGGTCACAAAATGATTGCGATAATATTTCTACCAATAAGTGAAGGCATGGTCAAATCGATCAAGGAGTTGGACTAGCCGAGGTCAGATTAGCAGTGTTCTACTGTATATGTAAGTCAATTCATAGCCGATTCTAAGTGTTCCCACATCGGTCATTTTACCACTACACCACTGCTGCCAGGAAGAGTTTCTTTCAGGATTAAGCACATTCAGACTTCCCAGACTACTGAACAATTTCCAACTGAACATGCAACGCATCTAACTAGAAGTTGTTGTCCTTTCCTGCCTAATTCAAGCACCTGAAGCTAAAGGAGACAGGAAATTACACCACACAAGGCAAAATGAAATGCCACAATACGGAAATGTTGATTCTGCGAGTGGCATGTTCCTTCCCATCTAGTGCAGTTAGCTTTCAATTAATAACACAGAGACAGCATGGTACTTTCCTGGTAAATGGAACATTCATTATTATTGATGATTTTTTTTTTTCGATATAAGTTTAATATCGATATTTAATTTTTTGATCCGATAAGTTATATTGATATTAACGAATTGAAACATATCAGCTGACAACTACGATAAATAAATATTGTTCAGTACCAAGAAACAATTAAAAATATATTATATTGAAATTAAGCTGTTCTAAACTAACTTAACCTAACTAACCAAACTGTAACATTTCAAAATTCCGTTTGATTTTCCTCACATGTCTTTTCTATTATCAAACGGAATTTCAAAATGGTACAGTAAGTTTGGTTAGTTATGTTAGGTTAGTTTAAGCAGTTTCATTTCTTAATCCATATATATTATTTTTCCCTAAACAAGATCAGTTGTCAGTTTGTAATTTAAATGCGTTAATTATTGATATATCAAAAAAAATTTATCAATAATAATGAATGTTAGTTTAACAGGAAAGTACTGAAAGCATTCTCTAGAAACTTTTCTGACTGTATCCTTTCTTTTGTAGTGGAATCCAATCTTTACTTTTCTTGATACAATGGAGTCCCGATAATCCGAAAGTCCGCTTAATCCGAAACCAAAAAATATATTTTTTATATTTTTTTTATAAAAAAAAATAAATTTTTTTAAATTTTTTAATTTTTTTGAAATTTTTTTAAAACTTTTAACACAGCTGTACCTTGTCAAAGAATTATGTAGCGGCCGGGCGAGATAGACTTTTTTTGTAGAGTATTTTAGTAAATATTTCACCATTTTTGTTATTAACATTTTTCATTTTTGTCCGCCAAATCAAAAATGGATTCTATTAAGTGATAATGCTGCAGTCATAGGTCTAGCCTTAAGTAATGTGAAAAACAATCCTGGGCTCATGCCTGTGTCCTAAGACGAAAAAAAATTAAAAAAAAAACAAAAAAAAAACCGTTTAGTCCGAATTATTTGGTAATCCGAAATGGGCCCGGTCCCAACCATTTCGGACTAACGGGACTCTACTGTATGTTGATATAATAACCCCGTTCCTATTACCCGATTTTGCTAGTCAAGTCCACGAACTCAATCAAATTTATCCAGCTATGCACATTCATGCTAAATTTAATCAAATTCTGACCAAGATATCAATGAGTCGGGCTTGAGTTTAGGTCTTTCTGTGCTGCCTACAATAGCTTCTTCCATATCGGGAAATTTGCTGAATGCAGCCAAAAAATTATATCCAGTAGGAATTATAAGTATTTTCCTTACTTCACAGTTTATAGGCTAACCCTCACTGTGTTAGTTAAAGTAAAATAAATTTTCAACATATTTTAGGATTAAACTGTTAGGTTATTTGTCACATCGGAAATGATTCTCGTAGTTTTCAGTTGTATGACTCAGAGATACGGTTTTTCCAAAACATTTCTATTATTCTCTCAAAAGACTATAGATTGTAAATCTTCATAAGCACTGAGCAGAAATGTAGTGTCTTCTATCCATACTTGATTTGTTTAGTTGTTTAGGCAATAGTTGTTTTTGTTTAGTAAATATTTTGTAAAATGTTTTAATATTTATGATATGTGACTTTGAGACTTGGTGCTTAATTATTCCTTTTTTTTAGTCACGCCTTCAACGATGTGTCAATGACTGCAGTGATGCAGCCAATGATAAAATAGGCACCACTCCAAAGCCTGAAGAGGTAAGTGGTATCGTTTTCTCCCAGTGTACAACTCAACTGTAAAAATTTAAATAGTGAATGAAATTTGTTCAGCTATGAAAAAACACGGATTGAGCCTCGATCTTGTAGTTAAACCTTGACAATAGAGATGGGTCAATTTTTATTCTCTATTCCACAAAACTTTTGCAATACATGGAGACTTTGAATTCAATACCAATATATATTGATTTTATAATGTATTGCAACTGTACAAAAATCATAACCATCTACAGTAGAACCCTCATATCCGACCATGACGGACCGAGCCATGGTCGGAACGGCCAAAAGGTCGGATATTTGGAGGAGCATAACTTGCAGTCTCTGCGACATCATTAATTGTCTCCCGTGATTGCGGCAACACCTCAACACCTGTGAGCGTGAACTTACAGTCTCCGTGGCTTCGGTAATCGTCTCCCGTGACCGCGGCAACACCCATGAGCGTAACTTACAGTCTCCGCAACTTCGGTAGTTGTCTCCCGCGGCGGCGGCAAAATTTGTTATCAGGGACAGTGGTAGTCGTCTTCCGCAATTACGGCAACATCCGCGATCGGTCTTTCGGTTAACCGATCGAACTCGGCGTTATCGCCCCAGACAGGAAACAAGTAGACGGTCGGATATCCCGAGGAGTCGGTTATTCCAAGGTCAGATATGAGGGGTTACTGTAGCCTTTCTTGTTTGTAATGATCTCATAATAACGTCTAGCGACTGCAACCAGTTTGTGAATTTTAGTTCTCACAAATATTGGACAAATATCTTCGATTGTTTTAATATTCCATGGTTCCAAGTATGAAATAATGATTAAAAACCCCCCAAGTTATTAAATCCCGCCAGTTAATTTTAAAATGCATAACAAATTATTATTTTTAAATAAATAATATTTATGAATAATGAAGGTTAATGTAGGACAGGATGAGCACGCTTACCTTAAGGTATCTTTAATTGTGTCCTTAATTCTCAGGAAATAAGCCCATTCCAATCAAGCCTGAATTTTAATGTAGGATTTTCACCTGGGCTAAGCCCACCACTAAGGAAGGCCTAATAACTGAAGATCAGATGATAAAGTTTCTGCTGCACAAGAAGGTTCTAAAGATATTATTCAATCTGTGCTATTAAATAATCAGTTACATTGGTAGATCAGATGTAGATGCTAATTCAATTTTTGTTTCAGATGGACAAGGCTATCAAAATGTTTGAAGACTGCTCCACCAAGTGTATCGACAAGCATATTGCTTTTCTACCTGAATTTCTTACCAAAGTCCATGAAGTTCTGGGGAAAACACTTAAAGGTGTAGTTTAGAGACGCCAAACGGGTTCAGAGTTAGATGCATCAGCAACACAGACTTCAGTCTTAAGTTCTCAACCAAATGTACTTGTTGACATGTTTTTAGCGAATTTCCCATATAGGGAAGTTAATACAGTAAGTCTCATGTTAAGACACTAGTGTTAGCACCCGGGACTGATTTGCTTTTTTGTTTTGTCAAATCAGGCGAATGGAAATTCGCCTAGTCTGCAGGTTTACTGCGGCAGGGGTATTATTGTTCTTGAATATGTTAATATTATAACTTGGAGACCAGAATATTTGTTCATTGTTGTTACTCAGAGATAGATTATACCATGTTACCAATTGTGCCTCTGACTGCTAGGAGCCTACGCAAGGGAGGGTCATAATAGTAAAGTCAAACATATTTTGTTTTATGTATATCAAATTAATATCTGGATCCCAGCCACAAAAAATACCTTAAGTTTTTTGTGGAATCCTCCCTGCTATTTTGCTCCTAATGATTTTTGTTGTTGTTAGTTTTGTTATTTGATTTTGTTTCCTTTTTAGCGAATTTCCCTATAGGGAAGTAGCTATTACCGTAGGTGGCACGGTAAGACCTAGACCCGGGACTGATTTACTTTTTCATTTTGATGTCCCCAGAGGCCAAAAACACGATTCGTTCAAATTTTTATACAGTAGAGTCCCGTTAGTCCGAAATGGTTAGGACCGGGCCCATTTCGGATTATCAAATATTTCGGGTTAAACGTTTTTTTTTTTTTATTTAAAAAAATTAATTTTTTTTTATTTTTTGAATTTTTTTTTCGTCTTAGGACGCAGGCACGAGCCCGGGATTGTTTTTCACATTACTTAAGGTTAGAACTAGTGGCTGCAGCATTATCACTTACAGTTATAAAATCCATTTGTTATTTGGCGGACGAAAATGAAAAATGTTACAGTAATAACAAAAATGGTGAAATATTTAATAAAATACTCTACAAAAAAGTCTATCTCACCCGGCCGCTACAGAATACGTTGACAAGGTACAGCTAACTGTGTTTAAAGTTTAATAAAAAAAAACTTTAAAAAAATTCGAAAAATTTCGAAAAATTTCAAAAAATTTTCAAACTTAAATTTTTTATAAAAAAAAATTTTAAAAATATATTTTTTTGGTTTCGGATTAAGCGGACTTTCGGATTACCGAAGTTCGGATTATCGGGACTCCACTGTATATGTATATTATATAGACTTATATATGTATATATATATAGACTTATATATGTATATATATATATATATAGACTTATATATGTATATATATACATCCACTTATATATGTATATATATATAGACTTATATATGTATATATATATATATGTCCGTGAACGCGATAACTTGAGTAATTTTTGTCCAATTTTGATGAAATTTGGTTTAAAGGTGTAAAGTGGGATAAACTTGAATGAGTTCGCGAACCAGCACGATCGGACCATGGGAACGGGGCTTTACGAGGGGGTTTTATTGGGTAAAAATTGGTTTTTCTCACTTTTGACCCTCAAAACACAAAATTTCCCGATTTCTCTTTAGACCTTTTTAAAGAGCTTAAAAAAACAAATAATTTAGTATATAAAAGTATTTTTGTTCGATTATTAGTAACGGAGAAAATTAAAAAATTTGTAAATTAAAAATTCCCATGTTATTCTTATGGAGAATATTGTCAAATGTTGTAGTTTGCTTGTTTATGGATATATTTTGATCAAACTTGGCAAATTTATTTATTTTGTACTAAGCTATCAATATTTTACTCAAAAACAAATTTTATTAGTTTCCTTGAGGCAGCAAACCTAGGTACTCGTTAAACCTAATGTTATTAAAATATTATTTTTAACTAAAAATCAATTCAGACAAATGGAAATTCGCTTAGTCGGCAGGTTTGCTGCGGCGGGGGTATTTAGTGAATTCTAGGTTAAATGTTAATATGCTGGTAGTTTTTGTCTCTGATAGTTTTGAGATACAAGTAGGCCTACTTTGTACCCTGATCCTGTTCATGTCTTAAATAACTAGATATTTTTGGTCAAAGGCTCTAGGCTAGGATTCCTAATTAAGGTCTAAAGAGGAAGAGAAAGTTCAGCTTTGGATGGTTTAATAAGAGGTAATGGTGTAGTGGTAATAAGATGAGACTATTAGTTAAACCATTTATTAACACAAGTCTACTTGTAAATTTATAAATAAACATACCGTTTTTATATATAGTGGTTTATTTACTTTTATTTTTGTCCCAGTTCTAAAATTGTAGTAATTTTAAGATGTAGTGGTTTTTGGTTAAGATGTGGTGGATTTAATTGTAGTGGTAATAAGATGAGACTATTAGTTAAACCATTTATTAACACAAGTCTACTTGTAAATTTATAAATAAACATACCGTTTTTATATATAGTGGTTTATTTACTTTTATTTTTGTCCCAGTTCTAAAATTGTAGTAATTTCAACCCTGGTTACATCATGATCACATAGAAGTAGATGCCATTGTCGAGAGATTTGTAACTTAAGTCGGCCGCTTGGAAGTTGTCAAGAGGTTTCTATTTACACCAACTCACCGAAACACACACATTTTAGTGATAAAAGACAAATTTTGTAATGTTCACGTGGATGGAGACATACCTGTGTACTTATTTACCATTTCTTATAACCCAATAATTGTTCTGCGAGTTACAACATTTTAGGGCTACACCGTTTTATTCAGTATTAAAAATGTTAGGATGCCAGCAAACAGTAATACAGACAAAACTTAAACATACAAATTTAAATCAATTTGATTGGTACAGAAAACCCCTGATTAAACAAAACAAAATAAAGGGGGCGAGTCCGTTTTGGATAACCTATATTTTCATTTGGAATTTAAAGGCTTTTTTGGTGCATAGAGATCTACAACAGGGTTTTTATGTTATGTAAAAAAACTGTCATTTTAAATTGTACAACTTTATACCCGAAATTTATTCCTTAAAGTAATCAACAATTGTTTCCTAAACGTTATCTACACAGCAGTTACATATTGGGCAACAGAGCGGATGACTCCTGTTTCCTTGCAAATTTTCCAAATGATTTTTAGTTTTTACTATGGTTTTAAAAGTTCAATCAACCTGGGTTAAGGTTAAATGGAGTGTGTGTTTAAGGAGGGTTTCACTGTAACTGTTACCAATAGTTAAAAATATGAATTTATTGATTTATTAATCTCTTTAGCGTATGAACTTAAGTCTTTAATAAGGAAGTTCTTCCTCATTTGCTCTGCTCCAGTCGTAATAGTAACTTGCTTGATCTGACTTAGCTATTGCTTTGGCAGCTAGATCTCTTCGCATTGTGTCCATCGTTGAATTCAATGTATGAATATATGATTCTATGCATAGGCGAGTGCATGTATTACGATCTTTTAAATCCGCTTTCTGTAATAAAATTGATCATTTTAATCTTTAACAGCTACAATAGTAGGCCTAACTATAAATAGTTTGAAAAAATGTAATGGCTTTTAACAGATAAATATTCTAACATGGAATATGCTGCATTTTGCACTATTCATTTCAATTTATATTAGTTTAGTTTCAGTAACAATTCCTGTCAGAATAGCATTAACAGAAATGTACATAAATAATAATAAGAAAATGCAATAATAATAAATTACAATCTGTAAAATGTATGTAAACGTTTTCCTAAAATTTCATCTTTATGTTTTAACCAACAAGAATCGTATAGCAAATTTTTTATCATACTTGTATGAGTAAAGCTGTACAACTTACTTTCTTTGGGTTCTCGTCATCCTGATATTCTAAGTCTACATCATCCATTTGTTCAAACCAGCTGTTCATCAGATGCTGGAACAAAAATATTTAAAATCATTTGAATACGTTTTTTTATGAACCGCAAAGGAAACAGACCATTGTACCCTTTAGTTTAATTAAATCCTAAAAAGTATTAAACAATTAAACAAATGTATTAGTCTTATTTAAAAACAGTTGTCCATAATTATTTTAACATTATAAAGAGAACAATTGCAACAACTTCCTTGGTGGAAAAAGTTTATGTTTTTGAGAGCATCAGAGCCTCCTGTGTTCTTGGTGCACTCATTTCGAGAGCTCAGTTTTGCTTTAGATGAGCTAACCCCTGAAGTGTTGGAAATGCAATATCTGGAGTTGCGTCAGGGTTTAATTCTGGTGGTGTTTTTGGTTTTATAGAAACCATAAGTCCCCACAAGTGAATTGCTGAGTGTGGATAAGGCTATATATACTGTAATTACTGCAGGAGATTGCCTGGTATCCTGGAGGCACCGTACTCGCCACCCCTGAGAAGCCCGGTGGCATTTACCACTTCGACACGGGTCGCTTGACACCACTGAGGTTTGGCTGAAACAGAAGCAAAAGGAAAGGAGAAGGGAAGAAGATTTCTTCAATAAGAAAGCGAAGAAGAAAGGAGAGCCAGCAAAAGAAGAAGTATGCTGGTCATAGAACCCAGAACAAAGAAGAGGAGGAATCTGTGGAATGGCTAGGGTACCTCGGGGTCGCCAGAGGCCTCCCGTGTAGTTGACAGACAACAATCCCTGAGGACGGTGGGGCATGTATGTGTGTGTGTTTAGGGCTGTTCACAACCCCAATGATAAAGATGAGTCACAAAGCATCACTTGGATAAAACCTTTAGGTAAGAAAGCATTGGTCGTCTTATCAAAATTAGAATTAATTGTCACTACTCCGGGTATTTTAACACACTAATATCATTCTGACTCAGGCATGATCAAATTGTGGTGCGATTAGAGAATTTTAGGATATTGATTATGTTTTTTATACATAAATTCAAAGTTCCACATTTTTATATCACTAGCTCAAGGAGTTCAAGTAACCTGGAACAATATTTCATCACGCAATAGTTATTTGTGCAACTAGTGAGAAAAGTGAGCAATTGACTCACTCGAGAGAAATCCTTACTCACGAGCCGTAGGCGAGTGAGGAATGGTTTCTCGAGTGAGGCAATTGTACTTTGAACTCGAGTTGCACATTATACTTTTCCTACAGTTACCATAAAACAAATAAATTGGTGAAGAAACATAACCTTATTTTTACACAGAAGTGAACTTTTAATATAACATTTAATGTGAAGTGACAAATACAACAGTACAACAGCTGACCAGCTGAATTACAGCCAGTGCTGCCAACGTATTTCGCGCGCATACGACGTTGCCTGCATGTTACGCGCTCACTGTTGCAAATCTGGAGTGAGACAAAGTAATTAGAGTGAGACAATGTTAACATTGTCTCACTGATAAGCGAATTGGCCACTTTGCTTTCTCAAATCAGTGAGAGAACATGTACATTGTTAGGTAACTGTAGGAAAACAATTTTATAATAAATTATAGAATTACCTCAGAATCACTATAATCGGGCCACCAAAACTCTTTTAGTTCTTCAGCAGTTATCTCTCCGTCATCACCCTCGTCATCTCTATCATTCACATTGAAGCCTTCACCACTGTCACACTTTCCGATACATGTGTTGTATCGTCTCTGGAAACAGTATTAGTAGTTTGAAGCAAAAAATATTTCACGACATGTCCTAAAAGAATAGAAATGTTAACAGGTTTTAAATAATAGAGAATCTTGGTTGTTTTCACAATCATTATCTGTTTGTTAAACCCCTTAAATTATTGTGAAAGTTAAAGAGAACTGGAATAAAGAATTACAGTATACTCTTGGTAATTCAAATATTTGATGGATCAAAACTTTCGATAATTCAAAATAAATTCACAGTCCGTAGAGAATTCCCTGATATTTCAATGTTTTACCATGTATTTTGATACTCTACATCCTAGGTACAGTAGCTCTGATGTTTAGTTAGAGCAGTTATTGAGTTGTCTGGTCAGCAGTGTATGTTCATTGAAAAAATATTTATTTGTACAATATCTCTGAAACCGCAAAGCCCAGGTGTATAACCAATTGATAATATTTTCTGATCTGTAAGCATTTGTGATGTCTCTCACATGGTTGTTTTGAAAGTTAATATATTTTTGCTTGCACACCAAATCCACTCTTTTATTTGTTCCTTTGGTAAACCTGTGGTCTGGACACCCGCCCGGCACATGGGTAGTGCGTTTCCAGTTTTGGGTGGGGTCGAGGCTGGTGTCCGGTTCAGATAACCAAACCTTAAGTTGCATCCAGCTATTCCCTTCCCTCCAACTTATCCGTCAAACCAAAAAGGCTTGAATGACAACTAATTTATTCCATGAGTGACTGGTATCATTAAAAGGATATGAAATGTCAAAATCGTAAAATTATCTTTTTTCTTGACAATGGTTGGTCCTCAACAATTTTCCTCGTTTGTCAATTAATTGTGAAGCTTTGTCGACATTTTTCGCCAAACACATATTCAAAGTTGCAGCCACTTGACCAAGGCGTTGTACAAAATTACAAAAGGAACCTTACTTATTGAAAAATTATTTTTTTGTTATTTGATTTTTTTTTCTCTCCAAATTATCAAAACTCTAGGTAATTAAAATTTATTTGCTTTACCCTCCAAGCCAAGGTTTTATTAAAATTGAGCAGCTCTGCTCTGCTCAGCCTTAATAGCCCATAAAATGATAAGAGAGTTGAGAGTAGAGGTTGTATGGTCTCTTATCACAAAGTTCAAGGTCAGGTGTCAGTAATTTCCTGTGGCTGGGTGAACCGTCAGTAGTGTCATTGACTAGTATCTTTGACTATTAATACAACTAGACATTCCATCCCCATGTTAAAGTAGTCGCCAGGTTTTGTTTTTAATCAAATTTGTCTTAGTTGAAGTGAGCCACCTACAGATTGCACTGATATAAATTACTGATTTCTGCCGATTACACGATGGTTTTTACCAAGTCAAACTAATGGAATGACTTATTATGAGCTATAGCAACTGTCATGACCCAGTAACTATGTCAGTAAAAAAAAGGTACAAAATAGAGTTTTAGACACTAGAACAATCTGCGACTGGCTCACACAACTACATCAGTTTTTAGTAAAAAATTGGCGACAGCTGATCCATATAGATGGGATGTCTTCTTCTGTATCCAATAGTCAATGCTAGTATCTACTATACTACATCCATATATAGGGATCAGGCTGGTCTAATGGTAGAGCGCAGGGCTTCAGTGCCCGAGGTCCAGGATTCAAATCCCGCCAATCACCTATGGATTTTATCAATGTGATAATGCCGCACCGCATCCGCAACCCACTAGTACTAGCCTGAAGTAATGTGTAAAACAGTTCCGGGCTAGAACTAGCGTCCTAGGATGTGAATGTGTACATAAAAAAAACTACTAACTTATATCCACACAGACATTACACTAGATATAAATAACATAAATAAAAGTAGCCTGTTTGAAATTCATTTGTACAAACTGCTTTGTCTCTTGTTTACAATCTAACTGTGATCACTGGATTGAAGATGAAATTGAATCTAGGGCAATTTGAAATTAGGGCAAAGCCCTAAAGTAAATTACCTTTTTAATTACCATTCGTCATTTCGCTAGATCGTAAGATTTACAATGACACCTCAATCAAAAAATATAGTTAAGTAGGACATGTAAAAAAGGGATGTAACAGAGAAACCCCTTATTGTATTAAGTATAAGTATACAGGTTGGTCTGAACCTAGCGTTAAACAATTTTTCGGGTGGTAGAGCAACACAAGTGTGACTCAAATCCACAATTTAAAAAAAATATATTCCATACACCCATTTGCAGAAACATTATTTAGATTTTTTTAGAAAAACCTGTACATTTACACAAAATTTTAAAATTATTATACTCTAGTATTTTCATACATTTTTATAACTTTGACACTACCATCATATTCTACATTAAATTCTATGTAAGAATAGACAGCTTTTGGTGAGCCCAAAGCTTCAGAATTGCTATTTAAATTGATTAGAACTAAGAAATTTTGATTTTCACAAAAAAAAAATTAAAAATAAGCCTACATACACTTTTTTTAAGAAAAATACTAGAGATTAGCAAATAGCTACAAAAACTGCTCTAAAATCTTAGCTTTTAAAAGATATGATGAGGCATTTAATTTGCTTCCTTTTAAGTACAGTTATTCCAGTTATAACTGTGGAAAACATGGTTTAAGGAAAACAAAAACACACTAAAACAAACCAAAAAGACACACATGATAGTTTTTGTTATTATAGAAACAGCATGAGGCTGCAACAAAATTTGTATCTAGACAAGTTCAATACGATTTCCAACTATTAGTTTGATAACCAAACTAAAATGCAAGTTCATTTTAATTTATTTTAAAAATGTCCTCCATTCTCTCTGATGCAGGCTCTACCTCTCTTCCAAAAAGAAATCCATGGGGTTCAGATCAGGAGATCTTGCAAGCCAGGGCACTGGAATTGAATAAACCTTGTCTTGTAAAAAGAGCTTCATCCGTCCACAAAATCTTTTTGAAAAAGTGGTATTGTTCAATGTCAGAATTCAGGAGGTAGCGACAGAAATCTACTCTAGCACCATGCTCTCCTCCATACTCCTTTCATAAAAGATTTACTTTAAACGTTTGATCATTGGTGATTGCTTCTTAGGTCCCCATATTTTTTAGGGAAGTTTGAGTGGATAGATGTACCTGGAATTTTTGCAATACCATCTGCCTCAAATTTTGGATGTGATTGATCCTGTGCTCCGTCAAGATGTCATTTATCAACAAGACGGAGCACCTCCTCATTTTATGAATGACATTCGAGATTGGCTGAGTGCTAACTATCCCACGTGGATAGGCCAAGGAGGTCCGGTGCCCTGGCCCGCAAGATCTCCTGATCTGAACCCCATGGATTTCTTTGCGGAAGAGAGAATGGAGGACATTTTGAAAACACATTAAAATGAACTTGCATTTTAGTTTGGTTATCAATCCAATACTTGGAATTTGTTTTGAACATGTCTAGATACAAATTTTGTTACAGCCTCATGCTGTTTCTATAATAATAAAAACTATCACATGTGTCTTCTTGGTTTGTTATAGTGTGTTTTTGTTTTCCTTAAACCATGTTTTCCACAGTTATAACTGGAATGGCTGTACTTAAAAGGAAGCAAATTAAATGCCCCATCATATCTTTTAAAAGCTAAGATTTTAGAGCAGTTTTTGTAGCCATTTGCTAATCTCTAGTATTTTTCTTAAAAAAAAAGTGTCTGTAGGCTTATTTTTAACCTTTTTTTGTGAAACTCAAAATTTCTTAGTTCTAATCAATTTAAATAGCAATTCTGAAGCTTTGGGCTCACCAAAAGCTGTCTATTCTTAGGCTACATAGAATTTAATGGAGAATATCATGGTAGTGTCAAAGTTATAAAAATGTATGAAAATACTAGAGGAATTTTAAAATTTTGTGTAAATGTACAGGTTTTTCTAAAAAAATCTAAATAATGTTTCTGCAACTGAGTGTATGGAATATATTTTTTTTTTTTATTAAATCATAATATAAAATGAACTTTTACCTTGATGTCATTAAAAGTAGATGTAATGTAATAAACTGCCTCACTGGATGTCAAATGACACTTCTCAAGACAATCTAAGTAATCAATTGACGCAGGAAATTGCTTATCACAGCATTCAGATGCACACGTGTATGCTTTTTTCTGAAACAGGATTAAATAGTGGAGTACAAATCTTTCCTATTTGTTAACAGCTGCAGCATGAAAGAAAGATTGATTTTCCTAGATAGAATAATAAAAAAATAGCTAAAGTGTTTCAAACGAAACAAAACAAGTGTATAATGGGTTAAAAAATCAATATAAGCATTCAATGAAGAATGCCAAAATAAAACATAACACAGATATAGAAAAAAGTAATAACAAATGTAAACCTGCTTGGGAAGTCATTAAAACCAGTAGCAATTCTTTGATCAATTCAAAAACACCCGAAATCTGATATTTTCAATACCTTTTTTATTGAATCAGTTGAAAACATAAAACAGAGAATTGTTAATCATGCTTCCAGTTCAAAAGATTTCCTTAATAAGTCTTCTATCACTGCTGTGCCTTTTTCCTGGGATTTTATCATGAAAAATTATCTAATAAAAGCCACAAAAAAACTGAAAACCTCTAATGATGGTTATCTTAGGTCTAATACCTTGCTTAAACAGATTATTGGTAATATAGCTGAAACTCTATCTTACTGCTTTAATATCTGTCTCCTTGAAGGTGTCTTTCCAGATAAGTTAAAGATCACCAGAGTCTGTCCCATTTAAAAAAAAAAAAAGATAAAAAGGACTCTCCGGAATGTTATCGTCCAATATCAATCATTCCAGTAATATCAAAATTGTTTTAAATCATGGTTTTTGATCAGCTGAATTCTTTTTTTGAAAATAACAACTTCGTAAGTGTTTTGCAATTTGGACAAATTGCACGTAATCCGTGTATGCTTGGAAATAGGTTGGCAACACTTAAAGATAATAATACTATGATCAGCTGATTGACTATTATAACTACAATTTAACATGTCATTTCATGTTTATAGTTTATATTATATATTCGTTCAACGCTTGGTTTGAACATAACCTGAAGTGTAGTATTTGAAAGATGAATTAAGTGGGCATAACACGTTTAAAAATAATGAACTGGCGAAAGTAAATTGTGAATATAATGGTAGACCAGAAATAGCAGAAACTGAAAACATGTTTCACTAAACCTGTTACCTATAAAATCAAGAATGAAGTATAAATGAGCATACAAACTGTTTTCCTCATCTTGGAGCGTAAGTAAGAAAGTTACAAAACTGCCAGAAAATGTTTTATTGGCATATTTTGAAGAACAATATACTTGTTTATTATGTGTATAGAGTATGCATTTAAACGGTCCGTTTTAATGAGATTTTGGGACGTCGGTTTAACCGGAAAAACCATTATCCGGACTGGCCTCGGTTTCGAGGAGTCGGGATAAGAGGGAGTCTACTGTATTGCCGGTTTGATGCTGAGAAAAGGAAGTAGCTTTTAGTTGGTTCGGAACTTAACCCAGCCGTCCCTCGATCATTGAAGTTTTAATAAAAATGATACTGGCTATGAAACAGCTGGCCTTAGTCAGTCACTAACAAAGCTGCACAGATATCACTTTATTCTAAACTTACACTTAATTTATATTCAAAATTATGCACCAAAGTCAGTGTTATTGTCTTAGAGAACTTAATTGAGTAGAGTCACAGAAAACATACTACTATAACCCAGAATGCTGACCGCGTGGGGCTTTGCCTGTCAATTCGTAGGCAGCGCCACCAGCATACAATGCACCAGCATACAATGCACCAGCATAGCAATGCTGGTGGCGCTGCCTACGAATTGACAGGCAAAGCTCCACGCGGTCAGCATTCTGGGTTATAGTAGTATGTTTTCTGTGGTAGGGCTTAAAATAGTTTTGAAAAATGTCCAAATAACTATTAATCAAGTATACAAGTGATTGCAATTTATGAGATCATATGTCAAGAAAGATTATAAAAGAACATTTGAAAGTAACAAAAATTTATCTTCATATGAATTATATTTTTGCTGTTCTTCTATAAAAGGCAACATTGGAAAAACTAATTGAACCTAAATTATTGTCCCTCATTAGAACTCGGCACTAGTTACTACAGAATGTTCATAGGATGTGTGGGATTAGAAAATAGAGATGATCAGTACAAAAAGACACCAAACAAATGTTTGCTTCAAATACCTACAACACATTAAAATATTGTTAATTTTTCATGCCTTTAAAACTCTATGAGTAAGTTTGTTCTTGTTCCTTACTTTTAGCTGATGAAGTTATTTAAATACATCCAAGATGATCCATTTTAAACCCTTGCTTGGTAAATATCCAATCCTTATTTAAAAACATAAATTGACTTACTTTAACCTTTGTAAGATAAACTAAATTAATTTCCTCTAATGCTTCAAGATATCCATTAAACAACTTTTGTTTCAATGTTTCCAAATCCTCTGTCATAACAAAGAGCCTCAACCAAAATGCTTTCAAATACCAATTTGCAGAGAACAATCATACATATATGAATTCATCGAACTACAATTTTAATTTGTTTATCAGCAAAGCTATTTTAAGATAACATCAGTAGTATGAGTAGTAAACAACTATCTAATTTTTTCATGGACATAACAATATTACTCACAGCTGAAGTAGAAGTTTACGTAAAACTGTTTCTATTTTCAGTGGAGGGGATAGATTTCTTCCCCTAAAACCACATACATTTTGTGGACATAGTATAGATTTTGCAAGCTTTCTTACAAACTAGTGTATTTGACTAATCTTATTCTGCTATTTTCATAATTGTTATAACAATCTCTAGTATTACAAACACTACACAGACATAGGTATTTATTTAGTGGTTTTGATTAAGTTGTAAAGGGTAGTGCAGATTCTGAAATCTATTCTGGCAGGACTCGAGAAAACTTTAAATGAACGTAACTGCTCATCTCCACAAAAATAACCATATTACGAAGTTTGGCAACAGATTTTACAGACAAGTAAATCAAGATTCTGCAAACAATGTTAATGAAACCATTCCAAAAATATGTCCTGTAAATTAAGGGAAAATATGAAAATAGCCATTGGACTCTCTTGATCTACCCTATTGACTCTGACCTTGAAAGCTTACCTTTGTTTTTGAAAGTCACCCTGTATTGGAAAAACTCATGAATGAGGATAATACTGTAGTAAACTATTAATTAACTGGTATACATATTCTTCATTAGAATTTAAGAACTTAATAATAAGCAATTGTCAATAAAAAATATAAAAAACATTTGTTGATTGTAAAAAATGTATTCTTTAATTGATAAAATGCCAGTACAAAATAGCATATTTCATCACTAGGGCACAAAGTGACTCTTTTCGACCCGAGCTTAAGTTTTACTTTAAACTGATGGAAAATGACACTTAGAAAATGATTGAGGGTAAAAAACACTTTTTGCCAATGTGATGAACTATATTTTTTGTCATATTGCACCATTATCTAAGCAAACTAAAAAACCAAATAGAAAATGTAAAAACTATTCATGTAAAGATAACCTCTCAAAACAACTTCCAGCATGCTTTCAATTTTTCTAATTCAAACAAGCAGATTTTTAGTAAGTGATTCGATAATTTTTGCTATTACGAGTGTTAGTATATACATTATATCATCGATATGTCGAATTATTGACGAGAATGCAACAATTAGCTAAAACCGATTAAAACAATCTATAAATACTTTTGAAGTTTCGATACATGTGATTGATCATAATTGAAGTTCACAACTGAGTTATAACAATAGCTGACTTATACTCCCTAGGGAGAGAAAGAGCTACTTTAGATTCGCAAGGTAAATGGCTACTTTTGCTGCAGAATGACGAAAAAGATTTAACAGACCAGATAAAATTATTAATATCCTAGAAAGGAAGTTTATCTAAAAAACCTGGTATATTTGTAGAAACTATTGGAACAACTAATAAAATAAACCTGTAAAAATGTAGGGTAAAAAGTAAAAACGATGTAACAGAAAATAACCTTTATTCACAAATATTTTACAGACCTAAACCCAATTTTGGTTTGATTTGTTTACACTTGTTTCATAAGGTTAGAACAGTTTGTTCCTGAGTATGAATGTTATCACTTTTTGTCAAAATGAAATGACAATTATTATGTACCTAAGACACTGCCTTTTCAACCCTCAAAACGGAATGATTAAAAATGGAATTGTGAAACTATTTACAATCAAACTTCCAAAAACTTACAAGTAGGTCTATAAAATAATTGATAATCAGTAAAAGTAGGTAACAGGAAACACAACCAAAATTCTATGCAAATTGGAACATAGTTCAACCTCAGTTATTCAATTCCAAAATGTTTTTCAAGGGCATTTTCACTTTTAAAACTTAAACAAGTGTTAGTCCTACCATTATATAAAGCAAAACAGCGTACAAATGTAAATTGGCAAACCTAACACAAAAATTAAGGAAAAGAGATAAAGGAGCATTAAGGAGAAAACAGCTTTGAAAGAAAACAAAGTATAAAAACTACATTGTATAAGTATAAAGAGAAAATGAGTAGAGGCAAAATCTATGAAAAAATAAAACTGTACGAAAAAGTATATAGAATACTGTATTGATGCAGTCTATTTGGTGAAACTAGTCATTGTTGAAAACAAATAGTATTGAGAACCAGCCTAAATCTCTACTGACCTGACAGATGCTTAGCCTCCTCAAGTCGAGCCTTAACTACATTTAAAACATGTCAAACAGCACACAGTTGTATATCAATAGAATAGTGTATAGGTTCAAACAAGTGCAAAAAAATAACTGTGGTTAAACCATGTGTTTGTACAGTACAAAAGTAAAAATAATATCATTTGGATTTTTACTAAATATGTAAATATATTAAATAAATTGCATTTAACACTTACTTGGAAAGACTACTCTCACGATGATACATTTCTAATTGATCAAATAACAAATTAAGTGATTCAAGTTTTTAAAGCGATACTAAAGGTAAACATTTTATGGTTCAGTTATAACGGACAAAGACTAGTTTTTATTATGTTTAGTTGTACTTCTAATTCCTGTTGATGGCAACTCAATTCTTGTGCACAAAATCTTCTCCCTTCTGGATGTTTTTCTTCAACTCAGGAATGGCTGCCTTGAGAAGTTGGTTCTCATAGTCTGATAGTTTACCAAGCCCAAGGTTTTTCTGGAGACCATTTGGCTGCAAAATGGATAAAAATTGGGTTATAAATATACTAAACAGAATTTACAGTATACAGTAAATTTACAGACAGTATACAGAATTTAAAAAATATATGCATACATAACTATTTTAATGTAAATAGTCTACATAATATGACACAAGTGATAACCTGGTTTTCAGCATTGCACAAAAGATTACATACTGCGGCTTTATAGAGGGCCGAATTTATATTTGATGCACTCCTAAGCCTATGGGGTTTTGCAGCCCCCAAATTACAATCATAAATGGAAACGAAAGACTTTACATATTAGAGGTCTCAAATGAGCTCCTGTCACTGCTGGTTCAAATTTGAGACAAACTCCATGTTCTTTACTTCATCCACTACTATTGTAGTTGGTTTGCTCTCCTATGCAATGATTAGTCTCATCTTTGTAGCTGAAAGTAATGTGGAGGGATCCTGTGGCCTTGGGTGTCAACCATTTTTTAAGTCGATTGTTGACAGACATGGTGTTTAAGTGTTTGGATGTAGACAATTTGTAATAATGGGGGTGGAGGGGGTTCGGAGGTGGATTTTTTCATGTAGGCTGGATGCGGTCATTCTTCTGTCTCGTTTGAGGCAGAGAGAAAATTTAGAGGAAATTTTCATGCAGACCGTGGTATGACTGAAATAAAGTTTGCTGAACTGATAAGGGACATCTTTATGAGACTGGACGTTTCTATAAAATATCAAGAAAATTGGTAAACCCTGTCTTAAACATCCTGATTAGCAAACAAGGTTTTTGACCAACATTAATCACTGTCTCGGTCTCGATAGAAACTGGTGATCATCTGCTGCTGTACTCATTGTACAAATGTGTACCGCCTTCCACATACCTTCTAAGCTCCAGCAAATGTTCTACATCGTAAAATTTTTCAGCACGCACACATCTGTTAACTGGCAAGAGTAGTGGCTGACCCTTCAAACCACACAAATCTAAGTAAAGAACAAGGCGTTCATAACTGATTTGATCTAGGTCGCCTGGTTGTGATGGGATCTTGATAAAGACCATAATTTACAGACAAGCCTAGTATGTATTGAGCATAATTATGCGCTTGGTAAAAAAAAAAGTAACTAACAGAATCAACTGCACGTAATTATTTGTTTAAAAAATAATAATCTTGATGAAACTAGTTAATTAATGCACACAACATTAACTTTGAAAGTTTATAATGGACACTTACCCCAAGAAGAATGGGTGTAGAGAAGAACTTGGATTCTGTGACGTCTGATTGGACGTACGCACACTCAACAATGTTTGATTCTCCGTTGATTGCTCGGCAGAGGGCGAATGCAAACCGAGCACCGGCATAGGCCATGGAGAGAGTGGCTGAACCAGCACCAGCCTTAGCCTTCACTACTTCTGTTCCAGCATCCTGTATTCAAAGTTTTAAAAATTGTGACAACCCATATGGAGCAGTTAATAAAAGTTGTTTCCATAAACTACTTAAAAATATTAAAAATATTTTTAATTACTTAATTTGTTATTTAAACGTAAAAAAATTCAAAGGATTCAAGCTATTAAATTATTTATTACAATTTCAATTTTGTAACTTTTTTTACCAGCACTTGGCAGAGTATGCTTACAATAAGAAATAGTAAGAGGAGTCAAATTGGAAAGAGGATGTATTTGGCCATTCTATCCAAATAGGCTGGAAGTGTTGTGATACAATAACTTGGGCTGAGCTACAGAAGGCTTTATGTAGTTAAGTGTGCATGATCTAAGTGGCAGCAGGGTGGAGTTCTTGGTAGACAGGGTCCCTGTTAGTAGTGAAAGCCTTTGGTCATGGGTAACAGGCAAGCCCAAGGTAGTCTTTATATTTTTCAAAATTGGGGTTTTTGTTTTTATCAAACAAAATTATATATGTAATTAACAGTTTTCTATCTAGTCAACCTTTTGGTTTTCATCATCAGAATGTAGAGTTCAGTCTTAGTCATTATGCTTCTACCTGATAATAGGTTATGCAGTAAAACTATTGTAGCTGTTCATTTTTGCTGTGAACAAGGGACCTGGTAATGGCTTGATTTGAAAACTTGAATACAAGTAACAATAAATGTTGTGTAATCAATAGGGTTCCCACCAGTAGCAACTGACTTACCACAATTAACACAATGACAACCAGGTTCAATATAAAATAGTCAAATAAAATATACTCTTAAGTATTTTAATTTTTATGTGGTGCACGAATAGTAGTCTAGTAGTTAACCCAAAATCGTGTTGAGATAGTTTTTACGACACAAGCGGAAATTTAAGGCACAAGCTTTAGTGATTGCCCAAAAAACTACTACGGGTGTTGTAAAGGCTAATTACAAGAGTTGCTTACAATACATTACCTACAACCATTTTTTAATTAGATTGTAATCTGATATTTTCAAAAATCTTTCAATAAACCTTCCAACAACTTCCTGGTTGGCAAATCGTTTAGTTAATCTTATATTAGGTTAAGGAAAGAAACTGTGAGTTTCCAGCAGAAGTCGGCTGATCAACAATTGAATTGGTTGTTACTAGTTGATAAGTTGGCATTCGAAACATAATTTTACTTCTTTTCTCTCAATTGTTGTACCATATTGGGCTGTAAATTTACCACAACAGTGCTGCAAAGCAAGTAAACAATGTGGTAAAAATTGAATTGAGAAGGCTAGTTTAAAAAAACAGCTGTAGGTGAAATATTTTCAACAACTGTAACTAAACGCGCAATTGATTAACATGAGTAAATCTAGGAGTGTGTTTGTACCTGGATCCTGAGGGTGAGCGCTTCCAACTTGTCCTGGGGGAAGGACACAGCAGGGGTGCATTGAGAAATGAGAGGGATGATGGTCACCCCAGAGTGACCACCAACCACAGGCACATTCACAGCCTTGGGGTCCAGACCCTGCAAAACAGTTAGGTTTATTGATCAACTGTAAAAGTGACTCTGCCTACACAAATTTACAGCTAAGAATCAGTGAAACTTATGTGTAGGGCGGGGAGACGCGTACGTAGCTTGCTTAGACCAGACTTACTTGTTTATGTCACAACATAATAGGTAATTTTATCCTCGTTAATGCGAGAGTGTTTTATATCAGTTTGCGGTAGTGACTTACAAGCAAACTGAGTAAGCCATTACAACAAAAATTACTCATTGTAAAAGTTCCTCTAAACAAAAAGCAATAACCTTTTATGCTAAAATATGACTTACAGTAAAAATAGAGTGAGCAGTATATTAATAAATTGATTTGGTAATAGCACAGTTGTCCCACAGCAGTTAGGAAATATTAACCATCCCAAAAGTATATAGACAATGCCCCCAGGTTCATCTAGGTCTAAATGAAAACCTTGGTTGTTTTACTTGTCCCACACAAGTACATAACCAGTTTATTAAATTCATCAGTCGTTTTAGCATCCGGATTGCTTAGGCCTATATATTAATTAACATTTTAGGCCTTACCTAAGCAATCCTATTTTATAAAATACAGGGTGTTTATAAAAAAACTTTACAACTTTAACATTCTCCCATTCATGATCCATGGGACATAAACGTTTCCTATTGACACCACATGAAAGGGCTGCTCAAAAAGTTTTAATCAGCTGGCAGTTCAATCAGCTGATGGCCTTACATTGTTGTTTGGTAAACAAAAACAAATAATTGAAAAGTCTCATTAGCATCGCAATGGAAGCACGAATCAAAGCGCAGTGTGTGGAGTGGTTCATTGAAACGAAATCTGATGTTGTTGTTCAACGGAGATTTCGGACAAGATATAATAGGAATCCTCCTTCAAGACCCACAATTAGATCAGGAGAGCGTTTGATGAAATAGATCATTCAATTTTGCGTCGTGTTTGGTCAGAACTGGAATGTCGACTTGATTTTTTGCGAGCAAACAACGGGAAACACATTGAAGTTAGGTAAACTTCTTATCATGTAAATAAAACTTGAGAAAATTTCCTAAATTTTAATTTTTGTTTCATAGCTGTAAGTGAAAAAATAAAGGTTTTATGATTGTTTAAAGTTGTAAAGTTTTTTTATAAACACCCTGTACAGCTTTTATAAAATAGGATTGCTAAGGTAAGGCCTTAATATCAATTATTAAATTCACTTGGAATTCCATGGGAAAAAAATTACAGATAAATATATTCTAGAATAATGAATTTCATTAAAGTCTTGTTCTACTAAATTTAATGTATTTTTCTACAGTAGAGAGCCAATTAGAAAATTATCCTCTACTTATGTTTTAACATACAACGTGCATACAATGATGCATATAACCTGAATACAAGTGGATGATGAGTGTAGAACATGTTGTGATGTTGACTTGCAAACAGAAAACATCAGTAGTTCCACTGAAGATAAATTTTAAAGCCTTGAATAGATTTGACATTGGAGAAACTTGAATTGATTTGTTGATTTTTAACATGTTACGATGGGTTTTAATTGATTTTCTCTTTTTTCCAACCTTTTGCTATCTAACCTTCGCACGGCTAGTTAAATGTTTTATTAGCTGGTATAGCTAGTCGAGACTCTTAATTTATTTATTTAGCCATCACAAAATTGATAATTTTCTTGACGAATATAACATAGCTCACCTTAGCTTCGGCAATGAAAGTGTTGGCTCGAACAATGTCCAAGGTAGTGACTCCAAACAGCCTGTTAGGGTCGTAGACTCCAGCCTTCTTGAGCACTTCGGCAGCAATAGGCACTGTGCTGTTTACCTGTAAAAATTAAACCATTTCAACAAATAATACTCAGAAAACATTTTGTTAGGAAATCTGTACAAGGAATATATCTTATTTTGAACACAATAAAGATATAAAGATTTAATAAAGTTTGTGTGATACAGGTTTTGTACGAAGTCTGTTAAAAAAGTATCCACCCTTTTGCAGGAAAATCGTAATTTATTGATCAATTTGTTTTAACATGTAATCACCTTCAAAATGGTCACCTTGGGACTTCAGACATTTATTCCAGCACTCCTGCCACTTTTGAAAACAAGCCTGGAACTCTTCCTTCTTAATGGACTTCAGATGAACTGTCGCAGTTTGCATTATCTCATTTTTGCTCTGAAATCAGGTCCTTTTAAGCGGCATCTTCAAGGTAGGGAACAGCTGGAAGTGACACGGGGCCATATCCGGCGAGTATGGGGCCTGGCATAGCACAGGAATGCCATGTATTGCCAAGAAGTCTTGCACAAAATTGGAAGAATGTGTTAACCCGACACGCTGCACTTCTAAGTAATACTCTTTAATAGAGTTTTGTCCCTCAGGTGCGTACTTATGATAAACTACTTCATTGTAGTCGGAAAAAAAAACAGTCATCATGACTTTTGATTTTGCTTTGAACTTGGTAGGCCTATACTTTTTTTGTTTTGGCCATGGCGATGTTGAGCGTTTCCACTGAGAAGACTGCGCATTGGTTTCGGGAACATACGTATACACCCACAACTAATCACAAGTTATAACTGTTTTGAGAAAGTTTGGGTCATTCTGAATGCATTCCAGGATGTCTTGAGCAGCTTCAAGCCGCAATTCCTTTTGTTCATCAGTCAAGTTGTTTGAAACAAATTTTGTAGCAACTCTGCGCATAGCCAAAGCTTCCGTTAAAATTGAATGAACTGAACCAATACCGATTCCAACTTCTGTAGGTAGTTCAGGAACAGTTATACGTCTCCCAGAACAAGGTTCACTGTCCACCGAAGTGCGGCAATCTTTGAATCTGTTGTGCCACCCTTTATCTGTCTTGCACCCATAGCGTGTTCTCCAAAGGCTAGCTGAATCTTAAGAATCGTTTGAGCTTGGGCATCACCCAGTTTTTGGCCAAATTTAATGCAGTTCACGTTCGGCGGCCGACAACGTACTGAAGCCAATCAAGCGTGTCAAGGTCACGCGACGTGCTTTACAGTTGCCTAGAGCTACGTACCAGGGTGCAGCTTAATGCGGTTGTTGGATTACGAGATAAAATATAAGGTCGAATACTTTTTGAACAGGTCTCGTATGACAAATAAAATTGTTTGAATGTCTGGATTCAGTAGGCTAATTAAAGTTTTTAGTGACACTAGGATTGTTTAAATTCTTTTTTAATTAGATCACTTGTAAAATTTATTTACTCTTTCTCCCAGCCTTAAATTGTGCTTATGTATAAAATAGAGTTAAGTGAAGTCATGTTTCTGAGTAGTTCATCTTCCAAATATTATGAAATTAAATTAAAATCCTTTATTTCAACAGGCAAAGTTAGGGCCACATGGCCCTTTCTTACTCTTAACCTACATACGTCATATAAATATATAATATTATCTGTTCAAGGTTTGAATTAACAAAGCAACTCGACTCCAATGAGTAAGCAAATAATTTTAAGCGATTATTTATCGCAACCACCAATTAGAGTCTGACTTGACTAGAGCTTGGAAAAAAATCTCATAAAGTAATCTACTTGACTAATCACCGTACTCCAGTACAATATAAGTATGTTTGTCAACGAAGTGGTAAAAACCAGCACCAGTTATGCCTAATGGTGCAACTACCAAACATTTGGTGAACATACTTAGCATGCTTTCATAAATTTTTCTAAGCTGTCATAGGCCTAATTAGCTGTAGCAAAAACGAGTATTCTAAGCCCTTCAGCATATGTATTGTTACAAATATGTACAAAATGTAGGGCAGATACAAATAACAATGAAGTGTATCATAGTTCAAACAATTCTTCCTTTATTTTTTACTTCAATGTTTATAAACATATTTTTAAATTTTTTTACTCAACATTTGAATAATGCGTTTTGATAGTTTTAAGATATAATCAGAATTGTGTCAAATTACTGATTATGGCGGTATTTTTTATTTTTAACTTTGTCACATACACATGATTTGATTTTTTATTGTGATACTAATCTTAAACAGGTTATTTAGTATAGCAGAGGGAGAGGATGTTTTAAAATGGCATAATTAATAGTAATAAGTTCAAGGTATCTTTCTTATGATATGGTCAAATGCTATTAAAAGATAGACGAACACACCAATTGGATCAAGCTCTTATCGTGGCTATAAATTATAATTTTACAACAATTATTTTAATAGATCATAAATGTTAGTAGGCTAAAACTGTAATTAGTCAAATGTAAAACAACTTAAAGTTTTAAGTTAGGTAGCTGTTGATTTAGAAAAATCTTGATGGAAAAAATCAACAATGTGTTCTTTGTGTTTCAACAAAATAGGGCAAACAAATTTTAAAGAAAGGCACGAATGGCCTACCAACCATATAAAATTTATGGAAGAATTATTAGGGGACTTAATAGTTTTGTCAAACTTACAAATTAAGTTTTCAAATTATTGTTTGTTCCTTGTTTGGATAAAAATAACACCAGCACTTGGTAAATATTGAAAAACTACTTTAAAATTAGAAACTGTGGATAAACAAGATGGAGAATTTATCTTGTGGAGAGCTAAAATCAGTCAATACCCACAAGGTTCTAGGAATACACTTTGGTTATAAACTAAAATGGGAAAATCATATTTAATATCTGTCATAAAAGTTAAATTCGTTTAGGTTTGCACTAAGTGTAATTAGTAATACAACATCAATGGATGTATGTAAAATGGTATACCACGCATACATCGAATCAATAATTAGGTAAGGAATAGTACTTTGGGTAACGCTAAAAAATCAATAGTAAGGACTATGGCTCGAGTTAAAAGAAGAAAAAGCTGCAGATCTTTATTTAAAGATATTGGTATCTTAACACTTACAAATCTTTACATAATTGAAATTGTTAAACTTATGTTTAATGATATTACAATTTTTGATGACTGTAAATTCAACCATACCTATCCAACACGACATCAGAACAAATTGAAATTTCCTCGGCATAGGCTTTCATTCTATGAAAACTCTCCAAAATACATGGCAGTAAAAGTTTATAATAAATTGTACAGCATAATTCCAACAATAATTCCAACAACAATAATTCTAAACAATAATTCCAAGAACTTAGCCCTTATATCTTTAAACAAACTTCTCCTACAAAAACCATACTACACTGTAGAAGAGTTTTTTAATGATACTTTGTAAAATGATACGCTGAATGATAAGGTCTTTTCTGGTTATTTATGAAATATTTTACTTCTGTCAACTTTATTAGTTTTAGTTTAGTTTTAGTTCATATTGTGACGACACTCCAATCTTTTGTACCTTGTGCATTATAAGATGTGATGAGTTAATAAAGAATTTGAATTTGAATTGATTTTTGGAAAGACATCTAATATAAATGAGAGGTATGTGTTTACACAATTGTCAAATCATACCAGATTACATTTCTCTAAAAAGCGAAGATACAAGATTTATGCAGGAAATAGTTCTATGGGTCATAATAGAGAGAAAAATCCACAATGAAACCTTTTCCAAAATCGCTTCGATAACCAGATAGTATTTTGTTAGTAGCTATTTTGTATTTTTCACATGATCATTTTTATTTTTATCTTTGGATTGTTCTAACCAATCTTTATGAAACTTGGTATGTGTGTTAAGGTAGGAGAGACCCATGTTAGGGAAAAAATAACTCCTTACTAATTTTTCCAATTTAAATTACTCAACATGGATGATTTTAAGAAAAATTTTCAAGAACACTTTTATTTTACATTTAAAATTTCCTATCAAATGACACCAAGTACAAAATGATTGAATAAAAGATAGTTGAAATATTACGATTTTAAGTAGTAAAATGGGGTAGAATAAGGCTAAGCTAGTAAGGTTGCACCTCATTTTACCTTGTTCATTATTATAAAAAACCATTTTTGGACAAATTTTCATTCTTGATTCGCTTTTATTTTGACCTATAGAACCCAGAGTTTGTTTGTTTACTTACAAGACACAATGAATAATAAAACCTGGTTAACATTTATGATTGTTTAACCTGACCAGTAATTGATTGGTAACTAAGTGAGTATTGAACCACATACTGTGACGGGACAAATGACTCTGATGTAAACAACTCAGCTGTAAACAAGTCCAGAGCAATCAAATGGAAACTGAGTCTCATCAATGCTAGAAACTGAGATAAAACTTATCTTGATACATTAAAAAAACAATTTACAACCATTATGTGCCTAGAATGGGAAAAGTTTACAAACCTTCTATCATAAACCTACATCACCTTCATATGGTGATACCTCTCTATTTAAATTTAAGTACCAGTAAAGTATGTATAGTAAGTATAATACACCTAAAATATTTGTCAGAGGAAATAATCGTCCTTGGATTGAAGCTGATGAATTGTTTTTTAATGAAGAGAAACAATTTTTATCTTATAGAAAAATGCAGTTATAATATACATGAATGTAAACCGTTGAAACATTTTTGACAATTTGTTGTACAAGCTGATGACTTAACTTTGTTTAATCTATATGTAATGATTTGATGTCAAGGAAAGTTATATATTGTTGTCTAAATGAGTCATATTGCATACATGTACCTCGGTTGGCAAAATGTAGACAAACCAAAATAAAAAGTTACCATGATTATTTAGGTCATTTTTATAATAAGTTACCAACCCAACATCCTGGCTGATTTTTTTATAGAAAAGATTTTCTTCCGATGAATTGTATTCATGGCTTGTAAAACATTCCTTTTCATATTAAGCCTATATTTGAAATCCTTAAAAGTCTATAAGGCACTATTTACAGTAACGGAAACCCAAAAACATTCATAAGGCCTAATAGTCTAATAT